ACGGGGTTAGGTTGCAATCTCTGCTCTACCACCTCCTAGTGGTTTAATTTTAGATAAGTCACAACTTCTCTTGAGCTTCAATTTTCAATTTTCTCTTCTATAAAAAAGGGATAAATACCTCACAGGATTGCTAAATGATACCTAGTGAAGATTAACTGGCAATAAATAAAGACCAAGCACAGTATCTGAACCTAATTTAATAAACGTTATAAACTTAATTTAATAAATGTTCAGTTTCCTTCCCTTCCTTCCATAGCTTAGACAGTGAACATTCCCTCAGCTAATTCAGTACTGGAACCATATATAGAGATAGATAGATCCATTTATATATAAATCTATTGTTGCATCTATTTAAAAAGACTGACGACATGCATCTGAACAGATAGATTGGGAACTTGTATTTGCAGGATCTAATCCTATACCTTAGAAAGTGGGAATAAGTAATGTACATCTATTACTCGCCCCTCCCAAAAAGTGGATGGGGGAATATGAAGAGAAAAAGAGGAGAAACAGGAGGGAAAAGTAACTGTAGAAATGAGAAATCATTAATTCAACTTCAATTCCTAAGTTTAGAACAACCTTTACTTATCTATAAAGATTTGCAACAAGAACAGGATTAATACTCATTCTAAATTTCTGAAATAAAAACATTTTCTATTTGCTTAAATTCATGTAAATCTCACCCATATTAAACGTATTTTCCTCGTTTTTACCTTTCACTCCTTAAACCATAATGTCATTGATAAAACATAAGAAAAACAACAAAAAAACCCATCCGCCACAAAAACCCCTCAGATCAGAAACCCAAAAAGGTCTCACTGCTCCCTCAATTTCTTGATAAGCTTTAAATTTTCTAACCATCAAAGTATGTATTTTCTTTCCTAACATTTTCATTAACTACTGCTCACTTTTCAAACTGACATGACTTTTATGTTCTCTTCAGAGATTTGACTTTCTAGAAATCTTCTAAATCACTTACCACAGCTCATTCAAATCTCCTCCATACTCTTCCTGGAACACAGTATCCCTCTGAAAGAGGTCATTTAATACTTTCTGCCTGATAACCACTTTGAATTTGGTGGACTGTGCTACATACCTTCATATTCTCCCTAGGACGTGGATATAATTTAGATTCTAAACCCAAGGAAAGGTTTATGTTAAGCAATTTAATTCAGTTTTACTCAATATATTTTATGTAATCAAGCTTGACTTTTTTAGAAGTAATTGGAATCTGGTTTAGATTTTTTTTCTCATGTTCCAATTATTTCTACAACCTTTCTAAAATTGGAACTTCTTTTCTATCCTTAAACTGGAAATGTATAAAATGCTGCTGAAACTCCCATAAAATTCATGGGTAAAGATTTATCCATTAGATAAAATCCAAGAGTAAAAAGAATATTTTATGCTACCACAACATCTAAAACAGTACACTGTGCAGAGCAAAGACTCTTGAACATAATAAGCTGAAAACCAGTTTAAAGATGAATTTTATCACAGGTCAGTCAGTATATGCCAGGAAGAATTCTCAAGAACAGCAAATGCTCTGCCAGCAAGTAACCAAAAACTAACCACCTTGCTATTGTAAAATGATAGACAAATACAACAAACATTCTAAATTACATTTTAAGGCTTCATCTAGGGGAGTATTTTTCAAACTACAGACCGCAGTCTATTAGTGGGTCCAAAATTAATTTAAGGAGTCCAGATCAGCAAACGAAGAAAGGAAGGGTGAAAGAAGGGAGGATAAATAGAATATAAAATGTCAGAGTGCTTACAGGTAATAAGGGCATTATTTCATGAACAGGTAGTATTATTTCATGAACTCTGTTTTGTTCTGTATACTGGGAGTAATATAATATGTATTTTAAGGGTGGGTTTGACTAGAAAACAAAAGTTAGAAAATACTGATCTGGAAAAAACGATAAAGCAATGAAACTGTTACATTTACCAAGTTATTGTTTGGGAGGTTGAGCAAGACTAACAGCTTCTACTGAGTAGCAGACAGTTTTAGAAACCTCCATACATTTGTAAAAGCCGGACATCCCTCTGTGAGATGCGAAGAAGTACCTTTTCCTCTTACAGAAGGCCTAAAACATGCCCAGCAAAGCTCACAGGTGCCCCCACTAATGTTCTTATCCCTTCAAACTTCCCAACGCACAAGTCAATCTTTACTTCCTCCTAACTCTCAGGACCGTTCAGTGCAGTTAAGATACAGGAGCTCCTGAAAGGTAATCACTGGTCCTTGAACAACTGCTTCTAGAAAACATAAACTGTATTCCATATTACAATCTAAAGGTTAAAAATAAGACTCTGGCATTCAGAAAAATAACTTGGAAGTAAAACAGTCACACTATTCTACTTCAGGTCACATTTAATAGTCACATAGTCCACTAAAATGGTCATGTGAAGAGAATAAACACCAAAGTAAACAAAGATCTCTTTTTAAAGGTATATGAAATGTTTCCAAGATTCAAGGCACAACCTGGAGCCATTTAATATTGCAAGGAACAGGTAAGAAAGAGTCACTCTGAAGAGTCAGTATTGGAACTGCCTAAATATTGGCCACTCAATCTGCATTTCTTCACCGGGTCTATGTTAAGAGTTACTCTGAAAGCTCAGTTCTTTTAACAGAGCTTTCTAATTATTTTTGAAGCCACTTAAAAAAAAAAACACCACTTTTTGATGTAGAAGGGACAGTTTCATAAATTACAGCTAATATCTGTTCTAAAGGTTCAAGATGATGGGTATTTCTCAGGATGCACCCACTACTCATCACAACTACTGTATATTCAAGGTAAACAAACCCCACTATTGTCATGGAAGCACATCCCCCCCTCCCCCGTACTACTGTTAGAGCTTTTTCTTCTCTAATACAAAACTGCATATGGTTGGAGAGAGAGAAAAGGACAAAAAGTGCAGCTACAAAGAGAATTTTCCCAGTTGCAGACTGAAGGGTTCCTTTAATCTCTGCTCACAGTTTAATCTTCTGCCTAGCTCACTACCTCCTTTTTTCTTATACTTTGAAACTTGTTGTGGCTGGAGACATCAACCCTTGGCATAATCACTGGCTAGTTTTATAATTTGATCCCACATGATTGGAAAAAGGAGTTTCAGTCTTTGCCTACTAACAACTCCTCATTAAACACAAATTCCAAAAACATACATCTTTGATAAGCACCTACCAGAAAGTCATTTTGTGTACAGGTCTAAAAGAAAGCACCAAGACAAATTACAGGTTCACAGCCTCTTACTCCTAGAGGCAAAAAGACTTTTAGTTCAAACACTAACGACACAGGTTTTAATGAGAGAAGAGCAAAAGAACTCGTTTGTTTATCCATTCTGATCAGACATCACTAAAACTCAATTCTGATTACAGTAGACGACAAAGCTGGACACCCCTAATCGCCCTAGATTAAAGATGCCTCTCACTTTCTTCTCTCTCCTGGGCCATTACACCAAACCTAGAGAACTATACCCACCTTCAGGCTACAGGAAACAACATAATAGCTTATTGATCTCTGGTGTAGACCCAAAACCACAAGTCATCAGGCAAGTAGGGATCACAGCCACTTGATGCAACTAACAATCAAAAGTCATGCACTGGGTTTTCTGGTCACACACAAGCACACCAGTGGCTATTACCACATCAAATCTGGACCAACCTCCCCAGCTTCCCACCCCAAACAAACAAAAATAATAACATAGTAATTAGGTCAGGGCTCAATACATTCTGAATCACACAGAAAAACTATTTCTTGGCTGTCAGTAAATTTCAATTTAAGTTCATTAAATTCTTCATTTAACGTAATTTCTCAGGTTTTAAAAGTTACCATCACATTCAATTCCACAGACAAACGCTTTCAAAAGAGAGAATACTCGCTCATGAATTACATGTTGACTGCACTCCATCACCACCGCCATTACTGGAATGAGTGTTTGTGGCAAATTTTAAGTAAAATTTACCAAAGCATGATAACTTCTAATTATTTTCTTCTGAAGAAATCAAAGCACCACTCCAAAAAGCAAAGGTTAACCGTGTTCTCTAAACACCTATTCAATGTGTTTAACTGATGAACTAAGAACGGTGAAGTCAGAAGTGGAACTAAAGTCTCCCGCAAGGAATGTTCTTTCCAATTAATTCCATTTAGCTCTTTTTCGGAACCCAACGTAATATAAAGCTTGGTCCTCACACATCGTCTTCAGCCTTCTCTTAACCTCAAAGGAATATAGGTAATGCAATCCATAGACTAGAATAAAGCAACAGTGACGACATAAGCAGACAATGATGGATGAAATGACAAACGAACTAGGAGTCAGGGTAGACACTAAGGAGTCAGTAACTAGGAGTCAGAACGCCCTAAGACGGAGACACTGAGGTGGGGCTGGAAACTATTTTCTGGCCTTCCCCGCGTGCCGCTCCTGGGGAAGGCACAGGATCCTGCCCGCCCGGGATCCACGGAGCCTCGGCCCCCGAGGGGCAGGCAGGGGAAGAAAGTAGCGGGCTGCTCGTTCAGGGAGTGGGGAAGCGGGGAGAGATGCGGTGGGAATTTCACTGGGGAGAGAACTTCTCGACCCCGGAAGGGTCGGGGTGGCAGGACCGTCCCGGCAGCGGCGGGGGCGACCTTCTTTCCCACACAGTCATACATCTTTGTGTCTGCGGGTTGTGCAAGGGGCTATGAGTCCTCGAGGAGCCGGCCGCGGGGCCCTCCAGCCCAGGTCGGGAAGTCTGCCCGCCACCCCTTGCTCCCCGGGGGTTCCCCCGGCCGGGACGCCCCAGCTCCTCTCCAACACCCCGCGGGTCCGGAGGTGGGCGAGCGCGCGAAAGCATCTTCGCGTGCGGACGCCCCCTCCGCTGCATCCACCCCTCGCCGGGTCTTTGTCCCGCCGGTGGCCGGGGTCTCTCGCCAGTTCTCCCGGGGAAGCCCTGTCCTGGAGGCCTCGGGGCCCGGGGTCGCCCCAGCTTTGTGAGGTCAGCGGGGCGCGGAGACGCGGACACTTACCGTACACCCCGGCGAAGAAAAGCAAGACCAACGCAGACCTCCACCGCGGAGACTCTTTTGTGCTCCAGCGACGGGCCATAACCACGGCAGATGGAGGGAGAGAGGAGGAGATGGAGGAGGAGGAAAAGGAGGAGGAGAAGGAGGAGGAGGAGGAGCCGGGGCCAGACACCGCCGCCACCGAGCCCCCGGCTGCTCCCTGCGCTCTCCGCGGCGGCGGGAGGGGGGAAGGGAGGGGCCGCCGCCGCCCGCGCGCGCTCCCTCCTCCCTCTCTCCCTCTGGCCCTCCCTCAGCCGCTCGCCAGCTCCCACCCCGGGCGGCGCGAGAGCCCTACGCGGGGCGGCCCTCTCAGGGGCGGGGGGAGGCAGCGCGCGCGCCGGCGCGAGGCGAGGGCTGGCGGACGCGCAACCAGGGCCTCGGGCTGCACAGGCCGGCCGGCGCCGCCAACCGCCAGACGGAGCGCGAGCCGGCCCATGCGCTCATCCGTGCGATCGGCAATCCCCTGGCCCGCCTGCTTGGGTGCCCGCCCCGCGCTCCGCCGGACTTTCCGCGGCTCCGGGCCGTTTTACTCTCGACTGGAGCCGGAAGAGCAAGGCAGTGCCAATCGATGAGCGAGCGCGCGAGCGCCGGCCGCTCCGCTACCCGGCTGAGTGGGGCCCCATTGCGGAGCTCAGCCGCGGTCCAAGACCTCGTGCTGCCCCAGCAGTGGCGTGAGGGCCAGGTGGGAGGCTGAGCGTAGCTGCGTGTGCGGAGAGCGTGGGGGTCGAAGGCTGGGAACTTGGGAGTTTCTCTCCCCTATCCCTACATGCCTCCGCTTAATATCGGCGCGGAGCCCTGGGTGGGTGGGCGCAGGTTAGGGCAGCTGATCCAGGCCAGGGGTCGGTGCAGAGGACTGTTGGGGAGCTCGGGCTGGACACCACGCTCACGGTGCCCGGGATGAGTCGGGCAAGGCTGGAGTGTGGAGCTCTTCCAGTCTGGCGTGGAAGCCGCGGGAGACAGTTTGACATCGCGCAGGGGAGACGGAGTGGGGGCGGTGTTTAGAGCTGGGCCGGGATGCTCGGCTGGAGCCGTCTTTGGGGAGTCGAGAAGTGGGAAGGGGGGGTTCATTCAGCACTTCCTAATTTCCCTAAACATCTTCGCCCATCCCGGCAAGTGTGACGCCTCTTTCCTTAGATCTCCTAGCAGTTTCTAAATACCTTTGTAGTGACACTCGCACGTCAGACCTTCGCCTTGTGTTTTTAGTGTTTGTCTGCACGTCTCATCTCGCCTGCTGGATTTATCATTGGTCTTTACTCGCACTCTCCCGGCAAGTCATTGAAGACCTACAAGGCACTATGCTGACCGATTGACAGAGGTTACCTGTTTTTAATCCCTAACAACCTTGTGACATAAATTTTATCCACGTTTTATAGATAAGAAAATGGGACTCAGTTTAAATTGCCAAAACAATATAAGTAAATGCTTTGGAACAATTTTTCTCATTCCAAATTCAAGACTGTTTTCCCTATACCACAGCATACTCTGTAGAACGGTGCTTAGTATATAGGAGGTAAGTGTTAAATTTTAAGACATACTTTTTTGAATGTACATTTAAGGCTTTCCCTCTATCCCCCACCGATGTGTCCCCTTTAAGATGGTTTTTCCAGGAAATGGTATTCCAAAAGATAAAAAATTTATTAACGAACAATACAAAATCCAATAATTAACAAATCTTGTATCATCTGGCAAAAAAAAAAAAAGGAAAACTCAGACCTCCAAAAATGTTTTCCACTCTCATTGGAGAAGAGGAGCAGCTTCATAGTTTCTTCGTTAAACAATCCCCAGTTGTCTTTCCTAGTTTTAGGAATCTACGCTCTACTTGGTTGTGTCTTGAGATAGAAATTGTAGAAACTGTGCTGCCCATGACTGCTGTGTTTAGGACAGGCCACAAACAAACAAAATGAGGAGAGACTGTGGACTGCATCTTCCCCTCCCCACTTTTAGTACCACTTGGGGAACCCTATCCAGAACACAAGACACACTGTGCCTGCAACAGTCCCTTGGCTGATGCATTCACGCCCCTCCCACCCCTACGCTTGCTCTTCCACCCAGACCTGTCTTCTGGGACTTAACGAGTTCTAAAGGTTTTTGGTCTTAGGGTCCCTTTAAAAACACAATTTGGTAGGGACTCCAAAGAGCTTTTTATATGGGTCATATCGATATTTACCATTTAGAAATTAAACCAAATTTTTCAAATATTTTTAAATTCATTTAAAATAAAAAATGCATTACAAGTTAACTCTGTTTTCCAAAGCACAAAGATTTAGTGAGAAGTGTAGCATTGCTTCCATCTTTGGAAATCTCTTTAAGGTCTGGCTTAATAGAAGACAGCTGGATTCTCCTGTCTGCTTGTGCATCCAGTCTGTTGCAATATGTTGTGTTTGTTGAAGAACATGAAAAAAACCCAGCCTCACACAGATATATAATTGACAGAAGGAGGACCTCACTACCTCCCCAGGGTCCTCAGATAAAACTTTGAGAACTGTTGATCTAGGTGTCTATCTTAATGCCTTCAAAACCTAAGCATTGGGGCTGACTGGTGGCTCAGCAGTTGAGTTCATATGTTCCGCTTCCGTGGCCCAGGATTGGCGGCTTTGGATCCCAGGTGCGGACATGGTACCGCTTGGCAAGTCATGCTGTGGCAGGCATACCACATATAAAAGTAGAGGAAGGTAGGCACGGATGTTAGCTCAGGGCCAGTCTTCCTCAGCAAAAAGAGGAGGATTGGCTGCAGATCTTAGCTCAGGGCTGATCTTCCTCAAAAAAAAAAAAAAAAAAAGGAAAAAAACCCCTAAGCGTTTTGTTTCTTGTTGGAAAGAATCTAATAAATATGTATTCTAAGGTATAAGCAACTGAACACTTCAATGTTCGCCAGCCAGGAATGTTTATCCTTCATGAGAGAACATTTTTATTTATATGAAATTTAATTCTGATAGAATATCAGACATTGGTAAGCAACGTGGCGCAGCATAGGTACTCAATATCACCCTTTTTCTTAATCCATCTAGCTGGTACCTAGATGTCTACTTCTGGGCTAGTATATCAACATATAGGAGAAAGCACTTAGAAATCTATAAAAATTATTTTAAGTGGTTAGTATTGGAAACAGTTCTGTTGCAGTTGGCTGCTAGTTTAACTTGGCCATTTTCAGATTTGCACCCTATAAAACGTAGAGCAAATTCCTGAGACTTGTATGGTTCTTAATCCCGGTCCCTGAATCCGTAGATGGCTTCAAGGGTTTTCTTAAGCTTCCTGAAATTGTATGAAAATTTTGTGCTTGTGTATTTTTGTAGGCAGAAGATTCATTGTTTTCCAGTAGATTCTTGAAGGGCTGTGTCAACCATTAAAAAAGTTTAAGACAAATTGAATGAGGCAACTATTTGAGCTGCTTATTAATATTTTTCCAAATGACTCTTAAATTCCTCAAATATATGCATTTGGCAGTGGAGAAGTACATGAACTGTTTCTTTTTCCCTTGATATATTTTGAAAAGAGCCACAACCCTCCACTTTATGGAGACATGCCCTTAATAATCCTTCTGTTTTGATTTTAAACTTCTCTTTCCTCCTTGTTTGGTTATTACCACATATAATGGTTTAATTTTTACTCTTGCCACCAATAAAAATTCACTTCTTCCTGATGTAGACCCTTCTCCATTTAGTAACATTTGAGAATCTCATCAATGCTATGAGGTTATACTGGGAATTTAAGTCTACCACTCTGAGCATCATCTTTTATTGGAAAGAAAATTGATGATAGTAATTCTTCTACTTGGCATGCTACCAGGCAAAGCTAAATCTTTTAACTTCCCCTCAAAGAAATATTATGTTTAAAAAAGAAAAACAAGCTTGATAAACATATATAACTAAACGGGAAAGAAAAAAAATTTTTTTTAAAGATTGAAGTTAAATAAATGAGATATCTTTGCAAGCAGATTGTAATTTCCACGGAAACTGAGTAATGTTGGGTAGCAAATGAGGTTCATCAATCTAGGCAACTTCTATACCAGCTCCCTAGCACATTTATCGTGGTTATTGTTTATTATGGTCTGTGCTCTGACAGGATACCTAGCATTGTACCAAGTAGCAGAGACATAATCCTGGCTCAAATTAAATAGCCCCAATTCACATAGATTTAGTTTTGCCCTCATAAACTCAACTTCTTAATTGCAAAACCTAGCCAAAGAGCATGCGTGAATTTACAGTGCTAATAACATGTATCTCTTATAGCCATATGAAACAGTTACCCTTACCAAGAAAATGAGGAGAAGGAATGTTAGACATTGGTATTTATAAAAAGATACTCTGAGCATTTTTGTTGTTTAACTGCTAAGTTTCAAAATGCACATAACTGTGTTTTTTAAGTTCTTCCTATAATTGATTGAGGATATGAATTGGAAATGCTCCTAGGATGGAATTGAGTCCCATATGAGCCCAGCAGAAGTGAATTGGCAACTCTGTGGCAACCCAATGGCCCTTTATGGGGAAATGTTGTGAATTTCATATATAACTTATGTGTTAGTACTCTCTCCAAGTCCAAAAAGGATTTGAGGTTCCCCAGTATATTTAACAATATAGTAGACTGTAGTTGTTAAGGGTATAGCTCTTGAGAGTTCAACAAAACTGAGTTTGACCTAGGTAGTTAACCTGGGTCAAGTAACCTAACCTTTTGTACCTCATATTCCCACTTACAAAATGGGAAAAAATGAGGGCCTCGTTAAATTATCTACATGCCTTAAATGAGATAATAATAGTTACTAATATATATTGAGTGCTTACAGAATACAGAATTACAAAATATATATTGAAATGCTATACATTTAGTCTTCAAACAATCCTGTGATATCAATACTATTATCATTTCCATTTTTCAAATGAACGAACAGGCACAGAGAGGTTCAGTAATTTTCTCAAGATTACACAGATAGTAAATGGTCAGCATTTAAACTCAGGCAATTTGACTCCAGAGCACACACTCTTAATCATTCTACCATGTATATATGTATGTAATGCACTTAATTCAATGCCAGGCACTTAGTAGGTACTCAATAAATGGCAGCTACTGTTACTAAAACACATAA